CTAAGCTACGTGCATGCCAGTTGCTGCATTGACCTCCTCCCGTATATGAACTTCAGAGGCCTGTGCAGGTGGAAAGAAAATTAGAGGGAATTCTGCTTGGACCCTCTGGAGGAGGCCATGACGTTTTATCCACTCAGCTCTTCTGGCTAAAGATTATTGCGAATACTTCAGCTTTGTCTTTTGCACTGATGTCAGGTGTCTCCCATCATTGAGGATAGAATAGAATAGTAATTTATTGTCACTTGTATTTTTACAAAAATTATAGTGAAAAGTGTTTAAGTCACCCTACTCTGGCCCTTACATTAGCAACAGAAATCATATTATAAAAAAAACAAAGTCCATCCTCATTCAATTCACGGCTCATGTGTTCCTAAGGATATTTGTGAGCCTCCACCCACAGGGAGGACTGCAGTGCTTTGATTTGATCTATTGGTTGTGAAATCACTTAGCTCTGTCTATCACTTGCTGTTTATCCTGTTTGGCATGCAAGTAATTTCATTTTGTAGCATCACCAGGTTGACATCTCAGCCTGGCATGCCCTCCTACACACTTTGTTCACTGATCCCCTGGCTCAATAGTAATGGTAGAGTGGGATATATACTGGGCCATGAGGTCATAGTTTGTGATTGAATCTAGTTAAAGAGTCACAGAGTCAAACAGCACAGAAACAGACCCTTCAGTCCAACTCGTTCATGCTGACCAAGTTTCCCAAACTAAACGAGTCCCATATCCCTCTAAACCTTTCTTATACATGTACCTGTACAAGAGTCTTTTAAATGTTGTAACTGTACCTGCCTTAGCCACTTCCTCTGGCAACACCTCATGGATTCCCAGTCTTGAGTTGCTAGATCTGTTTGAAGTCTGTCCCATTTAGCATGGTGATAGCACCACATAATGGGATGTTATTAATGTGAAGGTGAGACTTCATCTTTTCAAGGACTGTACGGTGGCCACTATTACTGATACTGTCATGGGCAAATGTATTTGCAGCTGGCAGATTGGTAAGGATGAGGTCAAGCATCTTTTCCCCTCTTGTTAGTTCCCTCACCATCTGCCGCAAACCCACTCTAGCAGCTGCGTCCTTTAGGACCCGACCAGTTCAATCAATAGTACTGCTGCCGAGCCACTCTTGGTGGTGGACAGTGAAGTCCCCCATCCAGAGTACATTCTGTACCCTTATCACCCTCAGTGCTTCCTCCATGTGTTGTTCAACACAGAGGAATCACTGATTCATCAGCTGAGGGAGGACTGTATGTGATAACCAGCAGGAGGTTTCCTTACTCATGTTAGACTTGATGCCATGAGACTTCATGGGGTCCGGAGTCAATGTTGAAGACTCCCAGGGCAATTTTCTTTCAACAGTATACCACTGTGTCGCCACCTCTGCTGGGTTTGTCCTGATGGTAGGGCAGGACATATCCAGGGATGGTGATGCCTGGGACATTGTCTGTATGGCATTAAATCCCTACAGTGTGGATAGAAGCCATTCAGCCCATCAGGTCCACACCAACCCTCCAAAGAGCATCCCACCCCGACACAGCCCTAGCCCCCTACCCTATTCCTGTAACCCTGCATTGTCCATGGCCAATCCACCCAACCTGCATATCTTTAGACTGTGGGAGGAAACAAGAGCACCTGGAGGAAACCTATACAGACACTGTGTTGTGATTATGACTTTGTCAGGCTGTTGCTTGACTAGCCTGTGAGACAGCTCTCCCAATATGGGCACTAACTCCCAGATGTTAGTGAGGAGGACTTTGCAGGGTTGACAGGGCTGTTTCTGCCGTTATCTTTTCTGGTAGCTAGGTTGATATCACATGGTCTGTTCAGTTTCATGGTTTAGACTTATTTTCATTGTTATTTTCAAATCCTTCCGTGGCCACGTCTCCTCCCTGTCACTGTGTACCTTCCCAAGCCTCTCTGAGATTTCTGTCTTCCTCTAGTTCTAGTCTCTTGCCCAACTCTGATTTTCTTCGCTTCACCACTGGGGGCAGTGTCCAGCTGCTGAAGCCTTGAATGTCAGAATTCTCTCCATAACCTTCACCATCCATCTCTTTTTTAAGACATTCCTTAAATTGTGCCTCTTTGATGAAGCTTTTGGAGACCTATGTTTATATAAGCTTGAATGTCTTTGTTCAAATTTTTATTGAATATGATCACAGAGTGGCTATATTTAGCTCGTCGATTCTATAGTGGCCCTATGCAGGAGTAACATACCTCATGGCCATAATACTGCACATTCTTCCTTTTCATATTACCGGTTATTATTGCAGCGTAAAGGGGAGATGGGCTTAGGGCCCTGTGGAATCTCTATCATAGCAGACTTTGAAGAAATTGCCTGGGAAATTGAACTCTCTGCTGGCAAACTCCCCTTGAGTTGTGAACACAGCCCAGTCCATCATGAAAACAACCTTCCTTCCATTGACTCTGTCTACTCTGCCTTAGGAAAGCAGGCAACATAATCAAAGTTCCCTCCCACCCTGGTTATACTCTCTTTCACCTTCTTCCATCAGGCAGAACATACAAAAGTTTGAAAATACATGTCAACATTTTCAGGTACAGCTTCTTCCCCGCTGTTAACAGACTCATGAACAGACCTCTCGTATATTACAGTTGATCTTTCTCTGGAGCTGTAACACAATATTCTGCATTATGTCCTATACCCTGATGTACTTATGTAAGGTTTGATTTGTCAAGTGGGAACAGTTTCTCTCTATATTCTCCAAAGCCCATTCATGATTTTGAAAACCACTGTACATTCTCCTCACAGCCTTCTTCTCTTCAAGTTGAACAGTCCCAACTTCTTCAATCTGTCCTCATTACTGAAGTTTCTCATTCCTGGAACCATTCTTTTAAACCACTTCCGCACTGTCTCAAATGTACTCACATCTTTCCTATGATGTGGTTCCCACATTGTACACAATACTCCAGCTGAGTTTAACAAATGTCTTATACAAGTGCAACATCACCAACTTGCCCTTGAATTCCATGCCCCATTAATAAATGACACTCTGTTTTATTAACTGCTCTGTCCCCCTGTGGTGCGACCTTCAATGATCTGTGCACATTTACGCCCATCTCCCTCTACTCCTGCACACCTTTTAGAATTGTACCCCTTGTTTTCTATTGTCTTTCAATGTTCTTCCAACCAAAATGTATCACCTCATACTTCACTACATTGAACGTCATCTGTCACATTTCCACCCACTCCACCAACTTTTCAATGCCCTTTTGGAGTTCCACACTGTCCTCTTCACAGTTGACAATTCTTCTAAGTTTGTGTCATCTGCAAACCTGATACTGTCCCCTGCCCACCAAGATCAAGATCATTAATACATATCTTAGGAAAAGCAAGTATTCAATACCTACCTCTGGGGAATTCCCCTATACACCATCCTCCAGCCTGAAAAATATCCGTTGACCATGACACACTGTTTCCTTTCACTCAGCCAGTTTTAAATTCACGTTGCTATTGACCTTTTATACGATAACCTTTAACACTGTTCACAAGATCTCTTGTATGGCATTGTATCAAACTCTTTCTGGAAGTCCATATATACCACATCAATATCATTACCCTCATTGAGCCATTCTGTTGCCTCTTCAAAAAACTCCAGCAAGTTAGCCAAGTCCAATTTCTCCTTTAGAAATCCATGCTGCCTCTTTCTAATCAACTCGTCTTTTTTCCATGTGACTAGTAATTCTATCCTGAATAACTTTGCAGAATCTTTCCCGCCACTGAAGTTAAACTAACTAGTCTGTAATTGCTGGGGTTATTCTTATAATCTTTCTCGAACAAGGTGTAAGGTTTGTAATTCTCCAGTTCTCCGGCACCTACCTTGATTACAGGGAAGACTGAAGATTGTGTTCAGTGCCCCTGTAATTTTGACCCTCTCTTTCTTCAAAATCCATGTACACATCTCAACTGCTCCCAATGCCTCATCAACTCTAAGTACCAACAGTATATACAAGAGTTCTTCCATAACAATTTTGAGCCCTTCTGGTGATGGAGTTTCCTGCTCTGTCACCATGGCCTGAGTTCCGAAGAAGAGTGACTGGAAATGTTGACTTTACTTTTTGTCCACATATGCTGCCAGACCCAGTGAGTTTTTCCTTCAATTTGTTTCAGATCTTCAGCATCTGCAGTTCTTTTTTTATCTGGGTAGCATTTCCTCTTTGGTAAAGCCAGATGCAAAGCAGTCATGTAATATCTCAGCCATGACCCCTGTCTCCATGTGTAAATCCCCTTTCTGGTATCCAATCAGCCTTATTCCTCTTTTTACCACTCCTTTTCTACTAATAAACCTATAGAAGATATCCCTTCATGAGACACTCCTCTGTATTGGCTACCAGTCTCATCTCATAATTCCTCTTTGCTTCTTTTATTCATTCTTCCACCTCCCCTCTGAACTTTCATTGCTCCTCATGATTCTCAATCATATTTTCTACCTTTCACAGAAGTACACATTTTCTTCATTAGCATAATTTCTACCTCCTGGGTTATCTAGGGAGCTGTGGACTCACTTTCCCTACCTTTATGAGGCAATGTAGCTCAACTGCACTCAAACTATCTCCTCTTTCAAGTTAGCCCAGCGTTCAGCTACTGTTTTTGCTGCCAACCTCCCATTCCAGTCAATCTGGCCCAACTCTGTCCTTGGTGCATTGAAATCAGCTCTCCGCCAATTGATCTTTCTCCCTCTAAATTGGCACTTATCATTCCCCAACAACATAAATTTTGAAAAGGCTGAATACTTGAAAAGGAATCATTTGTTTGGTTAAGGAGAAAGAGCGAGGGGTTAGGTCTAACTTGAAATGTCTTTCAAAGAGAAAGCGTATTAACAAAGGACTTAATGGCCTCCTTCAGTGCTGGGATTCTTTGGTCTTATTATTGTTCTATATCTCAAGGATCAGTCCATTCCACTAAATGGCAGATAGTGATAGATTTTGATGACTTTCAACGCAGGATTTTGAAGGAATCTCTTTTGCTTTTTTTTTCTCAGCAACTCTTCCTGTGTAATTTGGAAACAGAATCAACCACAATCAGCGTGCAGCAGTTCCTGGTGGAGTTGAAAGCTGGTGGAATCAGCAGAATCCATGAGGAGGAAGTCAGAAGGGAACTCCAACACACAAAGGCATTAGACCTGCTGGATTTTCTCACCTACCTACCACTTTTTGTCCTCATCCATAACTCAGTCATCACAAACCCATTGGATGATTCCCAGAAGCTCTGAGTTTTGCAATAGGCATAACATGCTCTTTCTCAGAAAATAAAGGAGAAATAACTTGTGTTTATTAAATGTTATACCACATCTCATACAGTATCTCAAAAGATGCCATATCCGATGGGACAGATTGTGACACTAGATGATTGTGTGTACTGGTGGCCATATGTTAACAGTCAGATTTACATCTCTTTCTGATCAATGTCATTGGAAAGAAAAATTGGAGAAAATGGGTTCTCACTATCTCCACTTTATTATTTCCAATTAAGTTGTAATCTATTCCAGTAAATTACTTTGAAATAATGCCATAGAGGCAGCAGTCAACTAACACATGCCAAGGTTTAATGAGACACAATAAGGTGAACGACCTGGGATAACACAGTGTGGAGCTGGAGGAGAACAGCAGGACAGGCAACATCAGAGGAGCAGGAAAGTTGACATTTTGGGTCAAGACCCTTCTTCAGAAATGGGGGAGGGGGAAGGGAGCTCAGAAATAAATAGAGAGAGGAGGGGTAGGGCTGGGGAAGGTAGATGGGTGCTCTGGTTTCCTCCCACAGTCCAAAGATGTGCAGGTTAGGTGGACTGGCTGTGCTAAATTTCCCATAGTGCCCAGGGAATGTGCAGGCTCAGTGGGTTAGCCAAGGGATATGCAGGGTTACAGGGATAGGGTGGGATGCCCTTCAGAGGGGTGCTGTGGACTTGATGGGCCAAGTGGCCTGCTTCCACACTGTAGGGATTCCATGATTAAACTTCATACCAACTAAAGTGTAGCATTTATTTTAAATTGGTTAACACCAGCTTAAAGCAGCCTGAGGAGAAATTTGAAATCAATCGTGTTGAGCATTTTTAGAAGACATGCATCAATTCAAATTTCTACCCTATTAACTGAGGAATACTATCTGCAATATAAAGAGTGAGCAACAAACATCACCAAACAGTCAAGAAATTCTATATGAAGTCACATTGTGAAGCATGTACCAAGCCAAATCTGTTTGATTTGAGTTGAGTTGTTTCATGAAAGCAAAAGTTGTGTGCATTGAGGTCTGTTATGGTTACCCTGGAGTCTAATAACCTTTAGAAGGATAACTGAATTTTCAGGCACTGACTGGCAGGATCACACTACAAAATTACATGTTTTAAGACTTTCACTGTAACAAACAAACAAACCAAAGTAACATTGGCTAAACACTGAAAAATGAAAGAATTGCAGATGCTGGAAATCAGAAACAAAAACTGAAATTGTTGGAAATACTCAGCAGGTCTGGCAACATCTATGGAGAGAAAACAGAGTCACTTTAGTTCTGAAGAAGAGTCACTGGCCCCGAAATGTTAACTCTGCTTTCTCTCCACAGATGCTGCCAGACCTGTTGAGTTTTTCCCGCAATTTATGTTTTTGTTATTGGTTAAACATTGTTTCAGTTTGTAACTTATACCCTAACTTACAGAAACATTTTCCCTTTTAATTTTTAAAATGGTCTGAAAATCTCCTCCATGGTTATAGTTCACTGTCCCTTAGGTGAAGACTTCATTTGACAGGAACCAGTCGAAAGCCATTCTCTATTCCTGATAGTTTGGTTTCTTTTTCCAGCCGAGTAACTTCTAAACTCCAAACCCAACCATCACCATGATATTTACCCTAGAGATTTCTCTATCAAGACCAGACGAATCTTCTGTCTTCATTTAAATCTTCATAAACTTTGCTTTTTCAATTTAAGCACCGACACCCATCCACATTCTGTGCAGTGCACAATATACACAGGCTGCATCTTTTCTTTTCCTTTTTTTATTCACGGGAAATTTATTGCCCATCCCTAATTGCCCAGAGGACAGTTAAGTGTCAACCACAATGCTGTGGGACTGGAATCTCATGTAGGCCAGACCAGGTAAGGATGGCAGTTTCCTTCCCTAAAGGGCATTAATGAACCAGCTGGGTTTTTCCTGACAGTTGACAATGGATTCATGGTCATCATTACACTCTTAATTCCAGATATTTATTGAGTTCAAATTCCACCATCTGCCATGGCGGGATTTGAACCCGGGTCCCTGGAACATTTTGTAGGGGTCTCTAGATTAACAGTCCAGCGATCATGCCACTAGGCCATTGCCTCCCTTGTAGTATTCTATCTCTTTATCCTCTCTGTCTCTCAGCTTCTTTCAGAATTTTCTATCTAGGAATTTCAGGACTACCTTACAAAAGATTCTGTAAATGTTTGTACAATGGTCTGCTTTAGATTCTGCCCCTTTCAAAATCCATCTTCATGACAATATGAATAATTTGAACCTTGTATCCAGAAATAAATGTTAATTTGCTATCCATTAGATACCCAATTCCATTCTATCTTGGAATAAATAGACAGCTTAAAATATAACCATTGATAAAACTTAACATTCTTAACATTTCCCTGTGAAACTTGGAGACTACCAGTCCACGCATAGTCATCACAGATGTCCTTGCCTCTGAAGAAGCGTCTAGGCCCGAAACGTCAGCTTTCCTGCTCCTCTGATGCTGCTTGGCCTGCTGTGTTCATCCAGCTCTACACCTTGTTACCTCTGTCCTTGCCACCGTTCAGATCAGTGAACACCTTGTACCTTCTTCGTACTAATTCTGGGTCTCACGGTCTCCATGGCAAAGAACCACCAAATCTTGTTGGGCAGAATTCATTGTTCTATTTTAAATGGTAGAACCCTGGAAAGCATAGAGGATCAAAGGGACTTTGGTATGCATGTCCACCAGTCCCTTAAGGTATCAGGACAGGTGGATAAATTGGTTAAAAAGGCAAATGCTATTCTTGTCTGATTAGTCGAGGCATAGAGCAGGGAGGTGATGCTGGAACTGTAAAAATCGTTGCTTAGGCCACAGCAAGAGTATTGTGAGATAACAAGGTTTACAGCTGGGGAACACAGTAGGCCAAGCAGCATCAGAGGAGCAGGAAAGCTGACGTTTCGGGCCTAGACCCTTCTTCAGAAATGGGCGAGGGGAAGGGGATTCTGAAATAAATAGGGAGAGAGGAGGAAGCGGATAGAAGATGGATAAAGGAGAAGATAGGTGGAGAGGAGACAGACAGGTCAAAGAGACGGGCGTGGAGCCAGTAAAGGTGAGTGTAGGTGTGGAGTTAGGGGGGCGATAGGACAGTCCAGGGAGGACGGACAGGTCAAGGGGGCAGGATGAGGTTAGTAGGTAGGAGATGGGGGGTGGGGCTTGAGGTGGGAGGAGGGGATAGGTGGGAGGAAGGACAGGTTAGGAAGGCAGGGACAAGCTGGGCTGGTTTTGGGATGCGGTAGGGGGAGGAGAGATTTTGAAACTTGTGAAGTCTACATTGATATCATTGGGCTGCAGTGTTCCCAAGCGAGAGTATTGTGTACTGTTATTAAATCCACATTATAGGAGGGATGTGATAGCAGTGGAGAGGGGGCAGAGGAGATTTACCAGGATGTTGCCTGGGCTGGAGAGTTTTAGTGATGAAGAGAGACTGGATACACTGGAGTTGTTTCCCTTGGAGCAGAGGAGACTGGGAGGGGACATGATGGAGATGTTTAAAATTATGAGGGGCATAGATAGGATAGACGGGAAGAAACATTTCCCCTTAGCGGAGGGATCAATGATGGTGAATAGATTTAAGACAAGGGGTGGGAGGTTTTTTCAACCAGAGTGTGGGCAGAATTTGGAACTCACTGCCTGTAAGGATGGAAGATGCAGAAACCCTCATCACATTGAAGAAGCATTTAGATGTGCACTTGTGATACCAAGGGTATACAAGGAAAATAGGATTACAGTAGTCAGGTGGTTGATGGGCCGAAGGATGTTTTTCTGTGCTGTAGATCTCTACGACTCTATGACCTTACTTTAAGTTAAGGAGACAATGCTGATACATAACAATTTTGCAAACCTTTTCTTTGAAACAGCCATCAGATTCCTTATTACAATGTGATTATTCTGTGTGACCTGTGTCATGTCTGAAGCCCACGCCTCTGAGTATCTAGTACTCAACTTCCGAACTCATAATCTCCACCATCCAGAAGGACAAGGGCAGCAGGTACATGGGAACCCCACAACCTGCAAGTTGCTCTACAAACCACTCACTATCCTCACTAAAAGAAATATCATTATTCATCCATTGTCGCTGGGTCAAAATGAACTGCACTCTCCAAACAGTTAGACAGGTGACTAATGAGAATGGGGATAGAAATTGTCAATTTGGAATTATGTTTTTAGGTCTGGTGGAGCAGGAATTTTCATTGTGATCCCACTAAAATCTGCTTCATTTCCACTTCAAGACACCTGCCCTCTGAGACCAGCCTTGCACTTACCTTGCGGTTTGCTGGGACAACCTGATATTGGGAGATGTTGATCTAACAAACTGCATCAGTGTGGCCTTAACCCTAAAAATCTCAGCCCCCTCCCCATTGCCTCAGTGCCCTCCTCACTCACTTGCCACCCACCATGCCACATACAAACTGCCAGCCCAATGTAATTCAAAGAAATATTTGCATTTCTATTTTGCTTTCCACAATGACAGGGTGGTTAAAGTGCTTTCCAACCAAGCATAGTCTCTGTTAAAATGTCAAGAACATGGTAGTGAATTTGAACACAGAAAGCTCCCACACAGCAATGTGGCTTAGTAATCTTCTTTGAAAGACATTGCTTTTAGGATAATTATTTGTTAGGCAACTGAAGAGAAATCCCTGCTCTTCTTTATAATAATGTTATGTACATTGTTCTTTCATTTTGAGCAATTAATTTTTTTTAACTTAAAATGTCTTGGTGGAATTCTTTGAGGACATTACTTGCATGGTGGGCAATGGGGAACCTGTGGATGTGGTGTATCTGGATTTTCAGAAGGCATTTGACAAGGTGCCACACCAAAGGCTGTTATATAAGATAAAGTTGCACGGTATTACAGGTAATGTATTGGCATGGATAGAGGATTTCTTGACCAGGAGAAAGCAAAGAGTAGGGGTAAATGGGTGTTTTTCTGGTTGGCGGTCAGTGGCTAGTGGTGTGCCTCAGGGATCAGTGTTGGGACCGCAATTGTTTACAATTTACAT